CCCTTCACTGCTGTTACACGTTTTTTCTTTGACCTCTAAAAGGATGATCGATTGATGTGGTTAAGCACCAACTATAGGTAGAGAAGACACAGGGGGACAGGAGCTCTCGCTAAGTGGATTGACAACTCAGATTGCAGTAACCGCTTGGGGTTCTCCTTGCACCGATACCCCCCACATACTGGGGTTCTCTCTCAGTGAGCAGGTGCCAAGCACCACTGTGGCAGTGAAAGTCTCTCTGGCCTCCAGGAAGGCAGGTAGTTTGTCTGGGGCCCCAGGGCACAAGTGCATCTTGAGGGTGTGGCCCAGGTCCCCGTGAGGTAGTCCGTGTATCTCTCAGGGCCTTGATGGGAGTCTGTCGGGGCTCTGGACACATGTCCATTTGCACTTGCCACGTGTCTAGTCTCCCCCTTGACTGTGTGGGGTCCTGGGTGCCCCCTGCTTAGTGCCCACGTGTGACAGAGGATCTGTTGTGTGCAGGAGCATTTGAGGGACGCTGTCTGGGGCAGAGGCGGCTCATCATGTTGGGGGCTGAGCCTGTGGTGGTGGCTGCAGGGCTCGCCTGTTGTTTCGAGCACATTCTTCAGAGGCCAGGACTGTCGTGGCAACTAGCAGCCACCTTGTCAATGGACCAGATGTGACCCTATCAAGATGTGCTTGATCTGTCTCTGCACCCCGCGGCCCCGAGCAAGCAGCAGCCCATGGGACAGGCCTGCATGCCCTCATTTAATAAAAGCACCAAGAACCCAATAAGTAACCAGTGGATAGATCTGCTTAATCTTCTGTGTTTGTTTTTTGAATAAGGTATAAGGAGGGGAGGAGAGGAAGGAGATCAGAAGGTGATGTTTTAAGTAATACCAAGAGCTGAAACCTAGTTCTCTGTGGAGCTGAGGTGTATTAAAGGTCAGAACAAATCCCTAACACATAACCTCAAATGAGCAGGCTCTGATCTTGCCCACCCCCTTGGCTCAAAATGTCCACCTGAACTGCCCGTCGCCCCAGCCTGGGTCCAGCGGGGGCCTGGTATTCCGGAAATGGGCTCCAGATCTGCGTTCATTCTTATTTCATAAGTGTTTATGAACCCCAACTGTGCCCTGGGCCCAGGGAGCCAGTGGCAGCCCAGACAAAATGCTGCACTCAGGAAATTTCATGAACACCCAAACCTAACATGCCCATGGCCTTCCAGTGTGCCCAGCACCGGGCCCTGCAGTCACAGAGAGGGTAAGTTGCTTGTCCTAAACCACATAAACGATGGTAGCAGAGGCAGACTGGAACACACGACATCTGGCTAACAGAGTGAGAAGTATATAGTGGTGAGTATGTCGAACCTAGTGGTGAGTATTTTGTGCCTAGTGGTCAGTATGTGGTACAGAGTGGTAAGTACCACACGTGGACAAAAACAGTGGACAAGAGATACTGGAACCAGGCTGTGGGCTTGGTGTTGACCTTTGTGTCACATCAACCAGAGAGAACAGAGGGGAAAATCAGAGGCAAAGGCCCAGTGGTCGTCCACACCTGGCATGTTGGATGAACAGAAGCAAGACCACGGCGCTCTGCGGTGACCCACGCGTTCCCAAATCCCAGTGGCTTCCCAGCGGACACATACTTTTCCAATGGCAACTGACCAGCAGGCGGCTCTCCACATGGCCTCCCAGGGGCCCAGGGCCCTTCCTTCTGTGTCTGCGGTCCACCACCACTCCAGGCCACCGGAAGGGGAGGAGCGTGGCACGTGCTGGCGGGGGCAGGGAAGCGGAACGGATCATCCCTACTGTGTGCTCCAGAGCCCAGTCAAACCCTCTCCCAGTGGCAAGGGAGGCGGGGAAGGTGGTCTAGCAGCTGCCCTGGAAGAAGAGGACCTGGCGGGGCAGGAAGGTAGCCAGCGGCAGGCACAGCAGGGCTGGCCGCGTGCAGACAAGGTTCAGGTAGATGTTGGGAGGACCCTGCAGGCTCTGCTGGTGGCTGGGGACCCAGGAAGCCCGACTGACTCCACCACATCTGTCATGTGGTGGACAGAGGTGACCACAGGGGGTTCTGGGAAGCTCCTCAAGAGAGTGGCTGTGTCCTGCCACGCAGTCAGGGCTACACTCCCCCTCTCAGGACGGCAGTCCCTGCTCAGGGAGAGAGGCGCTGGCCCCAAGCCCACGCGTGTGACTGTGCAGCTCCCTCACTGGCAGCCCCCCCCCCCCGATGTCCTGAGGTGGGCTGGCGCGGCCAGGAGAACACAGCAAAACTGACAGCACCAATGTTGAGCCTGGGCCTCAAAAGCTTTGTGGCCTCTGCCCCTACTTCTGGAGTCCGCCTGTGACGTGGCTGCTTGTGCAGGGTGAGCTCGCGTGGGAGAGGGCCCAGTCGTCCGAGCAGGAGCTGTCCTAGGCCAGCCTACAGGGAGCGGACCCCAAACCACGAGAGGCAGCCTACCAAGCTCGGGGGGCCCTCCTGGCCCGACAGCTGGCTGGGCTGGTGTAGGGCTTCCCCGGCAGACACATGCCAGAGTCTGCTCTTCCCTCTGCCGGACTTGCTGCGTGGCTGTGCCAAGCCCAGCCCCTCTCTGAACCTCAGTTTCTCCACCTCTCAATGAAGGGACGTGGGCGTCACTCTCATGGTGCGTCAGGGTCGCAAGAGTGGGTGACTTCACTCCAGAGCCCAGTCGTTCCGTCCTTGAAAGGGGCAGAGGGCCTGGCCTGTGGGGGGGCCCGTTCCTGCCAGGCGGCCCTGGGCCCTCCTGCAGTCCTGTCCCCTCCTGGGCCCCCACGTGGACCTGGACCGTTCTCATTTTTTGGTCCAACTCCTTAAGGCCTTTTTAATGCCCATTTTGTTGAAAAGCCACTTTTGGAAAAAAGCCAAAGGCTCAGCTCTGCCTGACACAGCCACTTATTACCACGAGCGACGCTGGAAGAGTCTTGCATGGAAGGACAGCGAGAACAGCAGCAGCACCAGTGTTCGGTCCCCACCATTGTTCTGAAGCTCAGAGCTCCCCGCGATTGTCACCAGAAGGCCCCTCACAACAGTCCTGGAGATGGAGAAACTGAGGCTCAGCATGGCTGAGCAGGGTGACCCAGAAGGCGGGCAGGTCCGAGGGTGGGGCAGCCCAGCTGCCATCTTCTCACACTCGGCCCCTCCAGTAAGGGAGACGCCTTACAGTCAGGGACAGTCAGGGTAGAGGTGGGGGGCCACTTTGCTCATTTCGTGTCTGTGTAATTAACACCAGTCGGCCATCTGGGGAGACGGGGGAGACTCCCCAATTCCCAGTCGACTTAGGCTTATGCAGAGGGACTGCAGGTTGGGGGGTTTCACTGTCCATGGCGGGCGCTGTTGGTTTCCAGGCCGTGTCCACTGTGCAGTGGGGGGCTTTAGGAAACCCCTGTCCACTCTCTCCGCCCTACCCATCTGCCATCCGCACACCCTCCCGTCCGCCCACCTTCCACGTACCGTCCACTGAGTGCTCCGTCCTTCTGTCCACGCACGACTCACTCATCTACCTGTCTACCTGTCACCCAGCCGCCCAGTCATGCCCTCACTCACTCACCCAAAATCTACCCTTCCAGCAACAACCGTCTCTCCACCTGCCCACCCATCACCATCCACCCATCAACACATACGGACATAACCCACCACCACAGAAACCCAAGTAAAGCAAAAGAAAAGATCTAAGGGAAGAAATCGACCACTGTCCAGCCATTTTATTTGCGGATGCTCTGACCACGTCCATTGCCGGCGCCGGGCCTGACAGAGCAGTGGCCCTGCACTGCGTCACCAGTGCCTCTGCGCAGGGCCCCAGTGCCACCGCCTGGCTGTGCAACACGACCCCCAAAGGCCCCGCAGTTTGCCTCCTACCGCAATCCCTCCCCGACAGCAGAAACCGGGGGACCAGCAGGCGCACACCACCCCAACCTCTCCAGCGCATGGGGGAGACAGCCAAACCCCGCAGGACACGCACGAGCACAGGGAACGCCTGAGCACCCAGGGGCACTGGAAGGTGCGGAATTCCACGACGGCCCCAGGACCCCAAAGCCTCAGTCTCTCTCTTGCTCTCACGCACTCACCCGCACACTCGCACACACGAGAAGGCAACGGACACAGTTCAGCACGCTCACAGCCTCCCGGAGGAGCTTTCCAGATGGAGAGGTAGCTGCACCCAGACATGGTGCCCGCCCCTCTGCCAGGCCCGTGACACCAGAAGCCCAGGGGGGCCCTGCTGCTCGGGGGCCCCTCGCCCCTGCTCTCCTGGCCCATCGCTGAGGCCTGGGCCTCACCTCCTGGGACACGTGGCAACGGCAGGGGCTCCCTGGTGAGGCGCGGGGCCCCCGAGGTAGCCTGCACTGGGCAGTGACGACCGAGTCCGGGACTGCTCACGAGGCGGGGGCGCCCCCCACCCCCACCCTCACCCCCACAGCTGCGCAGTTCCGCAGTTCCACACGCGCTCACCACTCAGTGGCTCGAAAGACCCCCCGCGCTCCAGAGGCCCAGGCTGGGGACCTGACTCGCGCCCCAGCGATGCCAGCGACGTCACAGGCCGCATCCAGAGGCTGCTCGGCCCTGCTGGCAAACGGAACTTGAGAGCCGAGCAGGGTGAGTCCCGCGGGCCTGACGCCGCGCCTGGGCCTCGCCCTTCCTCACCCCACAGACGCCCCGAGTGAAGAGGCAGGGGCCATGGCACGATATAGGCAGACTCCATATAAATAAAATATTCCTATAAAAATAGTCTCTTACAAAATACTCTCTCTTATCCAGTGGCTCGCTTTCCAAAAGATGGAAACTGCTGGGCGTTTTATTATCATCTTTCCTCTCTCCACGCCAAACTGGATTTTTCTACAGGTGACGTTTGAGGTGGGGAGAGTCAAGGGAGAGGCACGTTGTTCTGGAAAACATCTCCAAATCTGGACCAGCTTCAACTTCTGGATAAGTAGCAGCAAACAGCAAAAACTGGTAAATGGATGTGTGCGCATATATATATATATATATATATATATATATCTGTGTGTGTATATATATATATATATATATATATATATATAGCTAGTTACGTCGCGAGGACGTCTGTTCTTGTACTTAAACAGCGGCACTGCGAGGGGGTGCTTGCGAAATCAACTAGTAGACGTAGCTGCAGAAAGAATAATTATGTACAGTTCTACTTGGCTCCTGGTCCTAGCGGCAAAATCATCCTGCAAGGAAAGCAAGTGGTCCACTTTGATTGCAGAAAACGGATCCCGACGAGGTGAGAGGATTCTTTTTAATTAAATAAATTAATATTATTTTTATCAGAATAAATTGTTAAATATTGCTATGATGAGGCCCAAGGGTCCAGAGTTCCTGCTGAGAACGCTCTGCCCCCGAGGGGGGCCGCCGGGGTGCCCGGGGGTGGGAGAGAGGCGCGGGGGGCTCTGGGGCGCTCCTGCCCGCCGAGGAGCCCCCCACCCCGCAGGAGAGGCGGGCTCAGGGCTCCTCCCTGCGTCCTCGGCCGCCCGGGGCAGGCGCGGCCGCCGGCGGGCTCACTTGCAGGTGTACACCTCGGTGCGCTCGCTGCAGGTGTTGCATTTGACGTAGCAGCACCAGTGGAACTTGCAGTTGCATTGCCACACGCGGGCATACTGGTGGGTGTTGTAGCCGCGGCCGCAGCACATGAGGTCACAGCCGCTGGCCTGGGGCGCCGTCTTGTTGCAGGCACGGCCCTGCGTGCCCACGCTGCCCGTCACCGGGTCCTCCTCGCAGTAGTTGGGGGACTTCTCGATGTAGACCAGCTCCGTGTCCATGGGCTTGCGGTAGGACAGCGGCTTCTTGATCTTCAGGAAGGTGGGCCGCTTGTTGCGGCTGGCCCGCACGGGCTCCACGTGAACCGCCTCATTGTACTTGTCCTTGAGCACGTAGCCCAGCTCCCGGAACTGGGGCAGCGTGGTCCAGCAGGTCTTGGTGGTGCAGGAGCCCGACACGCCGTGGCACTTGCACTCCAGCTTCATGTTCTCCTCCAGGATCTGCAGGGGCGGGCGGGGAAGAGCACACACGTGTCACTGCACTTGAAGGCCCGGTGCGGTCCCCAGCCTGGCCCGCCCCGGCCCCTGCTAGCCCAGCCCAGCGTGCTCCTCCGTCTTTTCGCAGGAAGGGCAGACCTGGGGTGAAATCCCTCGCACCTCCAGCTGCAGGCTGTGCCTTCCGCCTGCAGGTCGCTTGCCCCCCTGCCTCCTGCCCTCCTGTGGGCTTCTTTGGTGGACACTTAAGTTAGTTCACAACACATATACGTTCTCTTTGGCCTGCGCAAGCTTAAAATTATTTTTGAGCCAACATTGAAAAACCAGGAGACGTTAAAAGGCAGACTTCTGGGGATGGATTTAGTTAGAAACAGAAAGGCCATCCAGGCAACTCACTCCACCGTGATATTCAAGTCGCTGGGTGTTGACTTACTGGCATACAGCCAAAAATGCCAGCATGGCAGACCTGCTATGTCGTGGCTCCCCACAATTCTACCAGCATTATCACCTGGAAAAAATACCTGGAACTGCACCGGCATCCCATCGCAGGTGGGGATCCCGCAACTTGCCACAGTCCTCACCATTCCCTATTGCCTCCCCGAACTCAAGCTCTGACTTCTCAGAGGTCTCCTGCGATGGTAATCTATAACGCCTGCCTGGCCTTGTGGGGCAGCTGAGTCTAAGAAGCCTGGCTCTGCTTTCCCCTTCCCTGGCAGTTCTGCCTGGACACCCAGGCTAGACAGTGCAACCCTTCTCTTGAGTTTCCTTACTCCTGGCATTTCCATTACCAGAGTATGAGAGGAGGCATTTAGTGATAAAAAGCACAGACTCTGGACCCTGGATTTAAATCTCTGCTCTATCACGAACATGTTGCATGTTTTGAGCCAACATTGAAAAATCAGGAGACTTTAAAAGGCAGACTTCTGGGGATGGATTTAGTTAGAAACAGAAAGGCCATCCAGGCAAGAGCAACTTTCTTTAGGCCTCTTTGCTGCAGAGTATAATGCAGATAGCAAGCGACACCCAGGGGCATTTCTGGGTTTTCTGGCATTTCTAGCAATGTTCTGTTTCTTGATATGGGTGCTTACTAATTATTCTTTTGAATCAACATAGCTAGTTGGTGTTCTTGTTTTGCACCTAAACTGCACCTCGCAATTTATAAAAATGTGGATACCGTGACCGATAAGCAAATGAGAAGATGCTGAGCTCAAACGTATGAGACAAACGCAAGTTCGAGCCCCGGAGAGACGCCCTTCACCCCACTCGGGCGGCTAACGCAACAGAAACACAGATTAAGAGTTGGCGAGCATATGGAGACACGGGACCATCGTCCACGCTGGTGGGAAGGTAAAATGGTGGGACCGGGTGGAAAACAGTCTGGCAGTTCCCCAAAACGTGAAAAACAAATGATCCAGCCCTACAGCCTGAGCGTGTGTATGTATCCCCTGCTCCCCAATTCACGTGTTGAAATCCTAACCCCCAAAGGCGAGCGTGTCAGTTAAGTTGGGCCAAGGAGGTTTGAAAGTCAGGAGGGTCGCGCCCACATGAATGGGACTTGTGCTTTACAAAGAGACTCCACAGAGACCCCTTTGAGGACACAGTGAGACGGAACAGGCTTGAACCAGGGAGCTGAATGTCATTTATAAAGCTGCACTTTATTCCCACAGCCTTTCTCTGCCCCGAAGAAATAAAAACACACGTGCGCATAAAGATTAGTAAATGAATGCTCATGGCAGCAGGCTTTACAACCACCTCCAAGGGGAGACGACCCCAAGGTCCATCAACGCGTGAACAGCCTAGGTGCGGTCCCCCCACACGAGGGTGCCGCTCAGACAGGACAAGGAACGAAGCGCTGGCCCCTGCTTCAGCCTGAACCGACCCTGAGAGCAATGCCGAGTGACAGAAGCCAGTCACCAAGTCCTCATGCTGCAGATGGCACTTAAACGCCATGTCTAAGAAAGGAGAGGTCTAGCGTTGCAGCTATAAGAGGTGGTGTGCTGGTGAGCCATGGCCAAGGAGAGACAAACATATAAACAAAGCCCTGTTTTGCAGTATTTGCCAGTTTCTGTGGATAAGTGCTCCCACCATGGCTGATTTGATGCCACCAGTGATAAAACCATACACTGGCCGATCCCTGGATGTTTAATAAAGGGTCTTGCGAGCTGAAAGGCGCCAGCTCCCCACTGGACTGGCGTGGGGTGGGCACGCAGCTTCCAGTCTGGAAGGTGCCTGGGCCAGAGAGGGCAGGGGTAAGTCTGCCGGACACCCCACCAGGGACCCCTGGGCCAGCGCACCCCGACTTCTGCCCCGTCTTGCTCCTCCCTTCTCCCAGCACTCATCCCTGACAGGCAGCTTGAACCAGAACCTCCAGCTCCACCTGCAGCTCGGAGGACCCTCACCATGACACTCCCCGGGGCAGGGATTCCTAAGGGCCCAGCCTGGAAGAGGTGCTGACCAGTTGTAAGGGGGCAGAAAGGCCTAGCGTGTGCCTGCTCATTTGCACAGCCAGCCTTGCTCGGCCATTCGGCACGCAGCACCCACTGTGCGCCCGGCGGCACCGCTTCCCGGAGCCCTGAGAGGACCACGGCACACGCAGGGCCCTGCAGGCCCGTGCCGGCAGCCAGCGTCGAGCGAATGACCCCCCAGTCTGCAGGTAAACTGGCGAGGGCTAAGAAGGGCGCAGGACGGAGAACAAAGGACACCTGTGCGGAGCAGCTCGGGAAGGCTCGTCCCTCCAGGAAGGCCAGCGCCATGCCAGGACCAGACAGCAGGGAGAGAAGCTAGAGCCAGCCGGACGTGGGGGTGGGGTAAAGGCGCCCCCGTCTGGGGAAGAGCACACGCAAGGCCCAGAGGTGTGGGGGGCGGGGTGCCCTGCCCAGGAGAGGACAGGAGGAGGCAGGTGTGGTGGGGCGGGGCGGAAGGAGGGGAGCAGGGGGGCGTCTGGACCACCCTCGAGCCAAGGCGCTACTGAGGGCACATGTGGGTACAGTGACAAGGTCCGAACGGCACCATCAAGGCCACTCTGGAGAGAGTGGACATGAGGTCGGAGAAGGCGAGTGGCAGGATGGGGCCTGGGGCGAGGGTGCCCCCTCACCCAGGCTAGATGTGGTGGTGTCCCTGGCAGAGATGGGGGTGGCAGAGGGAGAGGAGGAGCTAAATCAACAATGCTTGGGGGCGGACGCTCTGTGGGAGGGTTCTGGGGCCACGGGTGACTCGCGGGCCGAGGGAGCAGAGCTCCAGGCCAGAGACAAGGAGCCAGAAGGCCCGGGCTTGGGGAAGTGTGCAGCGAGCGCACAGTGAGGACACTCGGCCGAGCGTGGCCGGGGGCAGGGAGCATCTGCAGCAGAAGGGTCGCTGGCCCCAGTCAGCTCTGGCGCCCACAGGGATGACGTGCACAGGTCAGTCACTTAGACACACCGAAACGTGGTTGAAGCCGGTCAGGAGTGGAGACAATCCCTGTGGTTTCTGGTAATAAAAACAAGTTGACTGCAGAAGCAAAAGATGGGAGAGAAAAGGAAAGAAAGACTGAAACTTTCGATGACTCCAAGTTCCGTCTGAACCAAGAGGCTGCTGAGAAGCCAGGCACCTGAGGCCACACTAACGGAGGCCCGGCGCCCACAGGGAGGGCGGAGATTACCGTGTGGCTTCAGAACTGGGCTACATTCCAGCGATGGACAGAAACAGACAGATCACGGGTACAGGGGGTCGGAGCTGCCCAGCCCAGCGAAGGCACTTCCTGAGGTCCTGGCCTGTCCCAGGTCAGGGTGAGGGGCAGGAACTCTCTGTCCAGATAGCAAAACTGGCACCCACTAGAGGGGAGTCACAGGGCAGCAGAACCCCACTCAGCAGGAGACCAGCCTGCCCCACCAGGCTGAGCAGAACTGAGGGGGCTGCCCGGAGGCGATGAGCTGTCCAGCCTGGGAGAGTGCGAGCCCAGCCGCAGCCAGGTTTGCGAGGGGGATTCCTGTACCAGGTGGGCGGGGCTGCTCACCAGCTCTTCTCTGTTCCCCAACCCGGCCCCAAACCTGTCTGGAGCAGCAGGAAGGATTTTCCGCACCGCTGGAGGGAGAAAAATCAATCTTTTCTGACAGGTCCCCCAGGAAGTGCCAACAAAGTACCAGGTGCTGCCCAGAGTCCAGAATTACCCCAGGCAGGTAACTCTGGGGTTCTTGGGCCTGGGAGGGGCCTCGGGAGAAACTTGGCTCCAGAAAAACCCTTGATTCATAGCACCAAATAGATACTATCGATGTCGGCCTCCTGGCCTCCCAGACTCGGGTGTGTGCAAGGGTCCAGGAGCAAACTTCCTGGAGGAGGAAGGGGTTCCAGGAGGAGGGGTCAGACAGTGACCTCTGACTCCCACACAGCCCACGTCACGTGGCAACCCTGTGACCAGAGCCTTCCCCCCCCCATGGCATGCTGAGGTCCGTCTCATTTTTAAGACAAAAGCGCCTCCCCCTACCCACGGGGAGCCCCCGGGTCGAGCGGATGGAGGATGGATTATCGCTCGCGCCTGGCGCCAGCTGGACCTTGGGCCAGGACCACCTAGTTCCAGGAACCAGCGACTCCCCTTTGTTTTTAAGCCAGCTGGGGTGGGCTATGCCCTCACAGCCTGAAATGCCCTGGCTGTGGCCACACGGCCCCGTCGGTGCTGTGGCGGTGGCTTGGGGGGGGGGGTGTCCCCATCTGTCCTGACTTCCTGAGTTTCAAGTCACAACCGCGGGGTGAGGATTTTGGGGCCCAAGGACCAGGTGACTTGGAAGCACCTTGGGGAGCCGTGACCTGAGAGCTGGAGTCCAGCTTTGGGTTAGCTGGACCCTGCTGCTTCCTTGCTCTCGCCCCGAGAAGGGTCAGTTCGGAGGAGCCGGCTGCACCCCAGCTGATGAGCGCTGACCCGGGTGATCGGCTCAGTCTCCGTGTGGCAACAGGCGGCCGACAATCTGGGTTCACGTCCTGCATCTGGTCTCCACATGCCCACGAGGGCAGGCGTGGCCAAGGGGAGGTTAGAC